CATATTATCAGAGCTACGAAACTAATTCCTTCGAACAACTACTCCGTCTCCCTTGTATGCATGAACAACTGTCATTAACTTCGTCTCTTTCAGGCATACGAGCTGCTGGTTCCTTAAAGGTCATCTCTAGCTCGCTCTAGTCGCAACTTCCATTGTCGTGCTTGAAGGAGATAGGGTTTCGAGCCACAACCGTCATTCGTCTCTTCCATTTGAACGGAGCCCTCACTCATCTATTCCATTTGAACTGATCAACTTTTTCATCTCTTTCATTTGAACGGATCACATAACCATTTTCACAGATCCAACTCTCCTTCCAAACCTTTCTTCTGATTTCCAAAGAACATCCGATTTCTTATGTTCATTTTGTGCAACCTCTAGCGATAAGGATTTCTTTGGTTATGAGTCATTCTCTCTTCTTTCTTGGATCTGAGAGATGTCGATTGAAATAGAGTATTTTTCCTCTTTGATTTGCTAAAGAGGCGAATGATTCGGTTTGCCCTAGCCACCATCTCACACGTCGTTGGCCCGACCATCTCTCGCCGAGTGTCTAACGCATCGAAATCAAGATTTGTGCACTTCTCTCTAGTTTTTTGTTCACTCGTCCAACCGAGCAGTCGAACTATAAGTCCTCTTGCTTTTTTCCATTAGCAAGTCTTCTCGATTCAGATTTTACAATCTTATTATGATCAAAAACAAAAGAAGATGGAAGTGTAGAGAGATTTAAAGCTTGACTGTTTGCCAAGGGCTTCACACAGTCATATGAAATTGATTATCAAGAAATCTTCACCTGTTGCGAAACTTGATACGGTTTGTGTTCTACTCTCTATTGCAGTAAATCAAGAGTGGCCTTTATACCAACTTGATCTCAAAAATGTATTCTTGAATGACGAACTTGATGAAGAAGTCTATATGACTATCTCTAGGTTGGAGAATAGATCGAATAACATGTTGGTTGCAAGAAGTCATTGTATGGATTGAAACAATTTCCTCGGACCTGGTTTGACAGGTTTACTAAATCAGTGTTTACAAATGAATATCATCAGGGTCAAACTGATTATACTCTATCTGTTAAATCCAATCATAGAGACAAAATTGCTATTCTCATAGTATAAGTAGAAATTATTATTACGACATGTCTTGATTTAGGGAAATTATCAGGCTAAAAAGAATGCTTGCAACAAAATTTGAGATCAAGAACCAAGAATTTTCTATATTTTCTGTGAAAGGAGATGGCTCAGTTTAAGGATGAAATTGTCATATCCCAAAAGTATATCTTAGACCTGTTGACTGCAATTGACATGCTTGGGTGTAAGCATGCCGACACACTCATGAATTCCAACAAAAGCCAGAACAAAAGTGAATAAAATAGTCCAGTTGACAAAGGAAGATATCAAAGACTTATGAAAAATTACTCTTTCTATTACTCATAAGATTTGATATTGCTTACTCTGTTAGTTTATTAAGATAACACATGAATTATACGTGAAGGGTGTGCATTTTGCATTAATATTAAAACAAATAGTTTCAAAATGAGGCTAAATAAGCCACCAGAAACCAAAAGAAAGAGGCTACTAGGCAGTAACCCTGTAAAAAATCTTATCCCTTATAGTAAAAGAGAGTAAGAGATGACTACTCTGTAGATCTTTAACACAAAAACCATCCTGTAAGACAAGCTGTGCACAAAAATGAGCTGCCTTTTTGTTAAGTCTAGAAGTTTAAGAAAAACTCACCTGCCTGAAGTTCTTCAAGAAAGCCAGCTCAAGTCTCCAGTCACTTTGTTAACTCCAAAACGAAACATCAAGGGAACGCCGTAGAGTATCCATAACATTACAATTGTCCCCTTCAATCACCATGACGCAAGGTGGGGAGAGATCTTTTGCAAGCGAGAGCTGGCGCGGAAGATTCCCGCTCAAGTGAGAAGTGGATCGACCTGACCGGTCCATTTATCCCGAGCCGAGCGGCCCAGGCGAGGTTTCTAACCGGGTGAACAGCCTCCCCTGCCGCTCTCCTGCTTCCTTTTCTGCTGCTTCTCCTTAGGAAATGATTTTAATGGCTATTCTGAGCATTCCCACCCATTCCTTTTATAGGAGTTTCCTTTCTTCCTCTTTCCTTTCACCTCTTCTTCCTTTATTGTTTCTAGCCTTGCTAGGGCTATATGTATGCTGGTTTGCTTAGAGTCTAGGGAGTTTTGGCTGTGAGTTGATTTCAGATTTCCTGTATGGAATCCTTTTCCCCGTTCTAGGGCTGTATCCATGGAGGTTGTAGTGTTTCGACTATATCCTACTCTGAGGTGATTGTATCTCCCCTTTTACCTTCCCTACTTCGTCTCTTCTGCTTCCCTTAGACACCAACCATCCTCAATCGCTTCCTCTGCGCTGCTGACCCTGTTTCTGCTACAACAACCTCCTGTCCAGTCTGTTCAGACCCATCCCGACATCCTGCCAGCACCCCTACAGCTGTTACCTTGCTGTCCCAGAGCTTCCTCATCGCTGTCCTTGCTATCCAGCACCTTCCAACCACCAATTTGCCTGCCTCCGGCCACCTGCAATCCTCCATACTTATTCTCGCAATTTTGCACTCTTACTCTTTCCTCACTGCCATCAACACTTCCTTGCTGCTACCATCCTTGCCAACAATTCCAAACCACGTAGCTGACCTCCACCACCCTTGGAATACACCTTAGAGGTGTTTGTTTGTGTCGGTTTTATGTTTTAGTGATTCTATTCTTCCGTTTGTGTGTGTTGTAACCCTATTTTCATATTAATAAAAGTTGTTCTTTTGTGGTTTGAGCTTTCTCTTCTGGTATCACACCACCCTCGCATTTCCAACAGTTATGATTCGATCAACGCACCAAAATAGAGCTCCATCTCCATGTGAGAGCTATTTCACGGACCCGCTACAACCTACAATTGCCAACTTGATTCTGAATGATAATTTCCACACTGACAAAACCTGATGGTAAGAACTCAGTGCTTCTGAATTGGAAAGCAATGCGTACAAGTATTGGAAGACAGGACTGTCAATGCCATCACCGTGGGAGTACCATAGAACCGACCATGTTTTTTAGCATTCCTTGCTCGCCAACACTGGTAAATAACTCCATTAAGCATTTTGCCAATGGATTTGTTTGTCCTGGGAAGATTCTTCAACTTCTCACACGCCTCAAAGCTGGAATACCGCGGGATCACAACACCCCATTTCTAACAAGTTTTGACAAGTAGTCTTGAGGACTCTACAATTAATGGTAATATGAGTTTAGTCTCTCTTCCCTGCAACCCCAAGGGCATGCAGGATCATCACCAATAATTCTCTGCTAAAGCCACCAATTGGTTGGGCTGACATTATGCAAGAGCTGCCATTAGAACATAGTTTCCGAAGGATGAAGCATAAGTTTTCCAATCAACATGTTGCAATTGGGCGCTTGATCAAACAGTCTATTATAAGATAAAGTGGTAGTTGTCCGCTCCGAAAAAAAGGGAAAGTTAGCTGGCCGGTCCGTTAGAGACCTTCCAATAGGTTGTAGCTTGTGTATAGCATTAATAAACTCCCCACGAAACTATTCCTGCATCACAACATTATTCCACTACCATCCGTGATTAGAGCGGCAACATGCAGGTAACGCATGAATAATCCAAATGAGAATAATCAGGAAGCAGCAAACAAAATCCTGAGATACCTGAGATGATCCCTGGATATGGGTTACTCCTTAAAAGATTTGAAAACTGCGAGATTGAGGTATACACAAAGGCTAGTTGGGCATGAGATGTGACTGATAGGAAATCAACCATTGGATATTGTTCATATGGCTGAGACAATCTTGTCACGTGGAAAAGAAAAAAGCGACTTGTTGTCTCTCAGAGTAGTGCAAAATTAGAATATCCTACTTGTGCACTAGGAATACATGAGAGAATGTTGATTCAAAGTCTATTAAGGGAACTTAAGGTTGAGACAAGATATAGTTAAGATGTTCAGTGATAGCCAAACAACTATTAGTATAACCAAAAATTTCTTTGCATCATGATATAACAAAATACATCGAGATTAATTGGCATTTTATCTCAAAAAATATTAACATACACGACTTCAGATTGCTAATATTCTCAATAAAGCACTATCAAAGGTGTCCAAGCTTGGTTTGTACAATATATACAATCCAACTTGATGGGGAGTGTTGGAATGTGTCAATTCATAAACTTGATTATGAAGGAATTTATTTCTTTCCATCAAGATATACTTCACTAATTATGTTTTCTTTTAATAGATATTTCTTAATTTTCTATTTTTTTCTATTTGGTGAGATTCCTATTTTGTTTCCTTTAATTATTATATTTGCTGAAAGTTATAATGCATTGAGCAAGGAATAAAAAATACTTGATTTCTGCAAGTACCATACTCGGCTTTCATGTATGTTTGCTTGATCATGAAATGCTCTTACTTGAATCTGCCATCTTTGCTTGATACTTGTAGACATGAGATGCAATTAAATGCTCCAATTTCCTGCAAATGTCTGTCATTATAACAAGCATGTTTATCAAAACTGTTAACTGAGATCAAATGACTTGATTCTAAGATACTATAAAACTAGTTTACACAATTCAAAGCATTTTTTTATTGCATTTTGTGAAAGGCAAGCAGTATAATGCACCTTCTACTTTTATTTTTCATACAATCCTGAATGCAGTCAAAGATTTGTCCTGCATTTTACATCTTGACGTACTTTTGTTACTGCAAATTCAACCTATTAAAATGCCTGAATATAATGCAGTCCCCACGAGAGCTTTTTGTTTGATTCAACCCTAAAGGATAGGAGTGTGGGCCATTTGGTGATTGAGAGATATAGAAAATTTTTTTGTATCTTTCTGGTTTTTCTCAAATGATTCTATTGAACTTAAGTTTTAAATAAATTTTTAACCGTAAAAGGAAAATGTCTGCATCCTCGTTTGAGAGATCTTGCTTCACCTACTTAAACCATAATTCTTATCATTGCTACCGATTTGCAGGGACCTGTGCATTTGGAAAAACTCAATCCATGCTTCCTGCCACTTCCAGACCACGTTTGTCAGATACAATCTGGACCTAACTATGATTTTTATTCTTCAATCACGCGTTTCATAATTTCCTCGCCAGTGGTATGTTAGCAGCTTCTTTAAGGATAATTGATATTTATGCCATGATCTCTTCGAAATCAGTCGGATGGCTTGAACTTGTTTTTTGAAGTATTTTTGTCAATAGCATGATCCGAGTTTCTGCTAATTCTTACTTAGATCATGCATCTTCTCACTTATTATAATATTTTCTAGCTTTATAATCTGCAGTTGCTTGAACCACAAGAATCTCTTCAAACCAATCAATTAGTTTAAGATGGGTGATTTAAGAAAAACTTTCACTCCTCTTAGACCATATTTGGTGGGCACATATTTTTATGGCTAGAGAATTTAAATTCTTTCTCATGTTGAATGAATAAAATTTTGTTTTCTTTGGAAAATCATCTATTTCTAAGCATATTTATAAGTAATGCAAATGGATTGTATACTAAATTTTACTAGAGTATATTTAGATTATTTTATTTGATTGATTGCTTTTGCATTTAGAAAAATCTTTTAAATTAGCTAAAATGCAAGTAAATGATTCACTTTATGTTGACCACAAAGTAAACTAGGGTTCAAGATTGAATTTGCATTTTTTAGTTACAAGATAAAAGATACAAAATCCCAAACCAAATGATAGTGAAGCGATTACTTAAATCAAAGGAACTCATCGAGAAATTGAAAAAAAAAATTCATTTAAAATTTAATACAACAATTGAAAGCCCATTTGTAACTAATTTGGCCAATACCACGAACACTCACTGAGGTAAAAATAATGTCTTTAGAATAAAAAGTTATGGAAAAAAATCAACAAATAGAAGTAAATTTAGTTCTTGCAGCAATAGAAATGATATATCCTATTCCAGTTTTTTCTTTTGAAACTTGGAATACATTTTAAGAAACCCATCTTTCAATAGAAACACATGTTTGAGGAGAAATCTATAATTTTAATAAGCCAAAGATTATTATTGTTACATGTTTCAAATTATCTATTTATAGCATCATTGTCTCTCCAAATTAAGTTGGCTAGGATAATGCACAAGATAACTAAGCCCTTAAGATTTGTTCATAGATCAATGAAAGGTGCTATTGTAAAAATAGTAGAAATTGCATTGACGCAAGCGTTTGGGGGTGGGAGTCCATGAATGCGGGACTAGGGCTGTAAAATCAGCTTGAAGGTTGTTAATCGCTCGATATTCGAATTGATTTTTGGCTTGGGTCGAGTAATTGGAGTTGAGCTATAACTACACTCAATAATCGGTCAGATTCGATTAGATTTTGATTTGTTGCCGAATCAACTTGAACAATTGGTGATCTGGATTAGACTTAGCGGCTTTTGATTAGGGGCGAAGTTGTGGAGCGAATTCTTACAACATAATCGTGATCAGATGGTCAGGTGTTCTCTTCATACCTAAATACTTACCTTACGAACACCCCACTCATTCGGTCATTCCCAATTTGAAACTCTTGATTTCTCCCATTCTTCAAGTCTCCATGACCTTTCTCTTCGTTCCTCTGTCTGTCTCAGCCTCAACGGTGTTGGAGCTTATTTTTTTCTTATTTCCTCTTTGTAACTAGTTGGTTGTGTGTACCGTCAGACGTTTCACAACCCCACTGCCCCCCTTGAGTGTTGGTTGAGGTGCGACAGAGGTTGACAATTTGGTCAGAATAAATTCTCACCAGCACACATCCTGATTTACATAATCAAAACCCAGTGAATGAACTAGTTTAACTAAATTACCGCAAATATACTTCACACATTTTATTTCATTCCATTCATGTTCACATATGCTAGAAAGCATAGAAATCATAATAGCAAAATATATAAACCATATAAAGCTACTGAATGCAACATAATTGATGTACGTACCCAAAAGACTGTACAAGCTCCCAGAATTATAATGCAAAAGCTGTAAAAGTTTTGCCTAACTACTCGCTTTGGTGTTCCTTATCCCTTCTTAAAATTAAACGACGTAGAGCGAGCAACAATGGGCTTACTAAAATAATCTGGGCTAAGAAAATATTTTATACATGTAAATGAAACAATTTGCATACTCTTTGGTAACTGTACATGTCCATACACAAGTAATAACATGCTAGAATAGTATAAGGCATTTAAAGAAAATCTGAGTGTAAAAAAATTATGCATGTGTACAAAACATTTGTCATTCATTCACGTGTAATTATCAACATATGATCATAAACTTGTTCATAGCAATGTCACTTGTAAATGTATAGATTTCAACTATTTTCATGTATTGTCATATCATGTGTCATCACTCCGCACCAAAAATCATATTAACTATTGATAGAGGTTGGTTCTCCCCCCAATATAACAATTATCAATAACCTCCTGATACCAACGATTCCCTACGTTTTGTCACCATTTGATCACTACGGTTCTCAAAATTTCGTCACCGCTTGAATAATAGGAGTCGGGAATATCAATCCCTACATCGTGTACTTAAAACTGCTCATGTAATAGTCATCCATAATATCACTTGTGACATTTAAATTATCATTCATGTATCAAACATTCATCACAAGCAATTCATACATCATGCATGAATCATAATAAATGAATATATGCAAGTAATAGTTTCATAAGCATATTCATATGTATTTAGCGTAGCTTAACATCACATATATCGTAAAAGAAGTCAACTTGTATTCATATATTCAATGCAGATATTTATTTACAATATGCAAGGAATTCTAAACGCATCATTGTCAAATGTAAAATCACATGCAAACTCATAAAATTTTTTTTTTTAAGTTAACACAAGATTATTTCACGTGATTGGTCCAAACAACCCTACAACGAATTGACACACATCTCGAGCTCGTCGTCTTGTATAAACAACTTGTACATTATAAACAACGTAGAAATTCATGGAATCATAGCTTGTTTCGTAATTTAAATCAAAACTTAACTCGTTGCTAAAATATATCTCAAACGTGTTTCTCGGCATTACACACTTTTCCCCAAATTGCCTAATCAACTTCTCTTATCCTCATAACATTTCAATCTTCCATTTCTTTTGCTAATTTCATGTTAATAGCCCTTACGGAAGCTTGTAAACTAAGTTCGACTCTTCCAACACAAGTTTGACGCTCGCTACGACTACCAGAATCAAATAAATGCTCAAATTTATGGACAACCTCAACAAAAAAATAGAAGGAAATGAATGTTTAGAATTGTGTAAGAGGGTTTCATACTGGCAAAAATCTCCACGAAAGCTCTTACCGTGAGCTGTGGCTCTCAATTTTGCTGCTCGCCCCCTCTGTTTGTGACTGAATCGCGTTTGTGCTACAGAAGCCTTGTGGAAATCCTATGCGAGATTCTTCTGCCGAGCAAAACAGAATAGAAAGTGCAATGCCCAGAATTTGAGAAATAGGTAAAGTTTAACAAATTTTAGAAGTAGCCCAAATTTCACACCCTTAAAAATTAACTATATTATTTTTATAAATCTCTACGCAAAAAAAAAAAGATTAATTCCATATAAACTACTATATATTAATTATGTACGAATTGAGAAATATAAAATCCAGAAGTTATAAGTCTAATTAAATTTATTAAAACCTTAATTAATCATAATCTTCTCCCCAATCCAAATGCTTATTGTTCCCAGCCGAGCCTTCAATTCTTCTCTCATTTCTCGGTTTCATTCGCACGAAACCATTTCACTTCACTCGCTCGTCTGGACGATTCTGCAAGCTCTCGCATGAGGCTACGCTCGGGCCACTATAGCAAAGGGTGCGAACCGAGGCACTGACGAAGTCGTAGCTTGTGTTAAGGTCTTCTGGGGAGAAATTGGTAAGTGAAAACCTTTTTTCACGCTATTCTATACAGTCATTTCCTTCCTTACACTTTCTTTTTTACATTTGCCCCGATTTCGTGCCTCTTTTCTATTTTCGGCAGGCATAATAGGTATCGAACTTGTGTTGAAAGCATTAAACTTGGTCTGCAAGCTTCCATAAAAGTTTTTATATGAAATTGGCGAGGGGAAATGAAGATTAAGGCGTTAGGAAGAGGAATAAGCGGAACTGGAATGGTTTGGTTATGTTGAGAAGCTTGTTTAAGGTATATGTTTGCATTGAAGTTATCTTTTTTATTAATGCATGCTATGAACTAATTTTCATGAAACCTTAAGTTGCCTAAAAATTCTAGGTAGTTTACTTGAGGTGGCGAGCTCAAGACGAGCATGAGAAAACTTGTCTTAGGGCTACTCCCTTAAATTAGGTGAAATAATATTGTTTTAAATTAAGAAAAATAATATTCTATAGGTTTTTATGATTTCTAGTTTGGCATAGATGCATTTAGAATTTTCTACATTTTGAGGATGAATATGTGCATTGAATGTATGAATGCAAACTGATGTCTTCTTACGATACATGTGATATTAATATGCTATGATCATGTTGTGATACATATGACTATGCTTAATGATATTAATTGCCTAGAGACATTCATTTGCTATGATCCATACATGCGGCATATGAAAGCCTATGAATGCTTGCTACAGGTGTTATGTTGTCACAAGGAATGTTATTAGTAGACTATTATATAAGTCATTGCAAGTACGATGTATGCATGAATATTGTATTTCCGACTCCTAGTGTTTAGGCGACGACGAAACTCTGAAAACTGTTGTGATCAAATAATAATAGAATGTAGGGAACTGTTGGTATCACAGGGTTAATTGATAACTGTTATGTTCGAATAGTTGAGACTCATTCACAAGTGACATTGCTGTGCCATGAGGACGCTGCTATGATGACATTGTTATGATTACTTTCCCATGAACATGCTTATGACTATTCATGTTTTATTTAACGGTCATAATTTTCTATATTACCTGTTTTCTTTTCATGTTATATATGATTCTAATATGTTGTGAGTTGTGTGTAGACATGTACAGTTTCATGTAAGTATGCATGTTTTTTATATGTATAAAATTTTATTTTAGGCTTGATTATTTCGCTGAGCTCATTGTTGCTCACTCTATGTTGTTGCCTTTTGGGAAGTGGCAAAAAAACTG